TTAAACGGATTACCTTGCATCCGCTTTGATTTTAGTTGTTTCTCCACCTTTATGGCCAAGTGTACCATCTCCTTGAGGTCAACGTATTGGTACATCTCTACCGCATCAACAATATCCCTTTGAAGCCTATTCGAGAATCTAGACATCGTTTGCTCCTGATCTTCATGGATATCGGCTTGTAGAAGAAGTGTTTCAACCTCTTTATAGTACTTCTCCAGTGACCGCGACCCTTGTTGTATACTCTGCAATCTCCGCAATGCTTCAAGATGGTAATGAGGGGGAACAAACCTCTTTCGCATGAGTGTACGAAGTTCTGTCCAAGTACGCACTGGAGCCTCCCTATTTCTGCGACGGTTGATGCTCAATTGGTCCCACCATGTAAACGCATAATCTGAAAACTCCATTACAGCCACAAGGAGTTTTTGTTGGTCAGTTAATTGTTGAACATCAAAGATTAATTCTAACCTTCGTTCCCATTGCAAAAATGCTTCAGGGTTGGATTTTCCTTGGAATGGTGGCACTTGGAACTTGATCGAGTTGATAGCCTCATCTCCATCCCATCGGTGATGGTTATTATGATGTCTAGGTCGTCCACAATTTCCTTCAAACTCCTCATCATCGAGTTCATCAATGTTGTGTGGTGGTGGGGGCCGGATATTGCATCTTGGCCTCAAATGTGGTTGAACATCATTTTGCTTTTGTGCTTCAGGTAACGGTCGGATATTCTCTTGTAACTTTTGTTGATTCTCTTCAAGTTGATCCATCCTATTATTCATCAACTCTAATTTAGAATGGTGAAGAGTTTTGAACTCTTGTAGAATGGTATTGAGAAGACCTTGTACATCAACTTGTTGAGAATTGGATCTTTCACCCCCTACCATTAGAATGAGAAGAAAGAAAGAATAAAAAAAAAGAAAATAACCTCACTAGAACTCTCGTGTATCACTCCATACCTTATGTGCCTCTCTATCTCGCAAAAAGGACTCAATTCAAATCGATGGAATTCTCCCAAAGACGATAGCCAAAAAATCCAAAACAGTAGTGAAAACAAAATAAATATAAGTTCAGAATGAAGGTAGAAGACAAATAATCTAAATAAATTTTTTTTTTTTGATAAAAGAAAAAATGATTCGAGAACTAGAAGTAAATAAAAAATATCTTAATATTTGATAATAACTTCTTTTTTTTTCGTTTTTTTTTTTGCCTCTTTTTTTCGAATTTTTTTTTTGCTTTTTTTTTTTTTTAAATAAGAACCGTGATATCAATCAAGAGATTGTATCAACTAGCTCTGATACCAGATGACACGGCCCGGCCGCGTATAATTATGACCATAATAATTTTCTTACCCACAAAGTTCAATAGAACAAATGGATTAAGAATATGTATAGAAGAAAAGAGAAGAAAGAATAAAAGATAGTGCAAAGAATGTGAATTAGTATGGATGATAACCAACCACGAGATTAAGTCTTGAACGTGAAATCAATCCATAAGTAAAACACAAACAATAGGCTAAATCCCATTGCAAAGGATTGGAAGCCATGAACCGATGGAATCACTCCAAAGACCCGATTTGAGATTCTAAATGCGAGGAAATCACTCCCTAACACTAGAATATTATAAAAGTGAAATTCAATTTAAGATGTAAAAAAAATTGTCATTACAATGATAGACAATAACCTTATATAGAGGTCCTTGAGAAAATAAAATGCAACAAATAATAAAGGAAACAAACCAAAAGGTAAATCTAACTATAAGGAAATAAAAAATTAGGGAGGTTTTAGATATAGAATTATACTATATGAAAACTTATAATAAAAGGAAATATATATCAAAGGTAACTTCTAAAAACCTCCATAAGTGATGATTCTCTTGATAGTTTTCCATGATTAGCGTTTCTCTCCATAAGTGATGATTCCCTTAATATACTTTCATAATTAGTGATTCAAATGTTTACTTTAAGGTACTCGAACCTGGTATAGTTACAAACCTGATATAATAGTACCCATTTATAAGATTAATAATACGGCTCAACACATTCGTATTAATTTATCCAATTTAACAAAATATCTAAATTGTCCTTTCTTTTTCTTTTTTTTTTTTTTAAAAAATATTTGTTCAAATGCTTGTAATAATTTATTTTAATAAATATTATAGCAAAAAATATATAAAATATTGATAATTTTTTTTGTTTAATATTTATAAAACTTATCTTATTTTGTTAATATTTTTATTCAATGAAATAATAATAATATATTTTTAAAAATTAATTTATATATAATAAATAATAATACACATTATTTTAAATTTAAATTATATACATTATATGTTATCATGATAATAGCACAACTAGAATTTAAATGTATTGTTATTTTAATTTAAATAAAAAAAAAGTTATTGTCCAATGTAAATCTATAAAATATATCATGAAGGATATTTTGATAAAAAAAAATAAAAAAAATCATATCACATAATCAAGTAAAGTCAAGCAAACATAGTAAATTTATTTAATATTTAATACTATAAAGCAAACCTTATACTAATTAGTTAATCTATAACTATTTAATCTATTAAGATAGTCTAATTTTATTCATTTTTCAATAATTCTATTTTTTTTTTTTAGAGAATATAAAATACTTTCTTATGTCTAGTATTGTCATGTTCAACAGAAAAAAAAATCAATAACTAATTACAAATTTCTAACCATTGTAGTTTTCAAATATCTAACTTTCAAAAATTTTGGATCTTCTATGTATTTACATTATATTAAATACTTATTTCGTCCCAATTCGGCTTTTTTTAGTTTTTTAGTAAATTAAATAATAATAATATTTTATTGATTAGTGAAAGTGTGAGTTTTTAACATTTTTACTCTTTGAGTTTATATATAAAGTATTTATACGTATAACATGTTTATAATTTAAATAAACATTATGACTATTTTAATATCAATATATAATTACTTTTAAAAAAATATATTTTGAAATGAGACAAATAAATATAATAAAATAAATGATTTGAATTAAAACGAATGAAGTAATTATTTTTTACTATTTTTAAAACTTTCCGAAACTCTAGAAAAAATCATAGTCTAAAGAGTTTTATCGTGCTAGTGTTAATTATCATAATCCTCCCTCCGTTCCATAACAAAGTATCCATTTTTCCATTTTAGTCATTCTCATAACAAAGTATCAATTTTTTTTAGTAACTGTACTATTTACCTACAAATACCCTTACAACTTACAATATATTACACAAATACCATTACTTTTATATCACACATACTAATAAGATTATTTTAATCATTTCTACTTTATTTCTACTACATCCTAATATAATATTAATATTTTTAAAACTACGTACAAAAAACAAATAAATATTTAATTATAAGACGAATGGAGTACTTTTTGCATATAAAATATCATATTTAGATTACTGTCGAAAATATCGAAGTAAAAACAAAAATAAAATACAATACATCTTGATTTTCTTTACGTGTATATGTATTGCTGTTATTATTTTTGGATTACAATATTCAGAACAAAATAATAAATTAAAATAGTTAAATCATTAAAAACGCGTGAATGGACACACGTATACAAATCCAAAATTATGAAACACAGAAGATTCAAACCGCACGTCATTCCTATAAATAATAAAAAACAACAATATAATCAGATCAATAAATAAAATTAAATTAAATTAAATGTTACTCCAAGCTAATTTGTTTATTTTAGAGATAATTTGTTTCATTTAGCTTAAACACAGAGTCTGATATATTATATAATTAGTAAATAATTAAATAATATATTAATAAAATTAATTATAAATTAAGATTAAAATGACCAAATAGTTTAATTAAAATTTAAAAAATTATAAATTATAAATTTAAAAATGTAATTAAAGTATATAATTATATATTTTTTTTTAAAAAAAACAAATTATGTAGATAGGCGCAAATAAAAAGAATGTACAAATTAAGTAGGACGGAGAAAGTATTATATTTTAAATTTAAAAAATATATAATATTTTTAAAAGTACATAAAAATTAATCTTGTGCCTGAGTATTATGTTTTTATGACGTAAAGAGTATATTGATATTTTTATTCTTATAAGTAAAAAATATCATATTTTTATAAAAATTAGAAGTATTTTGATATTTTTATATAATTTTTTTTTACTTATAATAATAAAAAAAAATGATACTTTTGAAATGATATAAGAAAATATAAGATTGAGGGAGTCTAAGTTTTATTTATATCTTTAATCTCTTCCTCCCAATTCAAATATTTCTATTTACCAATTTTGTCTGTCTCACTTCAAATTACTATCATCTTCTTTTTAATAAAAAATAATTATACATTAATATAAAAATACTATTAATTTTTACCTAAATTACAAATATACCAATGCACGTACAATTACTTTATACGTAAAGTAAAACGGTAAAAATGTTAAAATATTTTCAGATTTCCAATACTAATAAAATATTACTATTTTTTAATCTACTGAAAAAATCCCAAAATATCAGTTGATATATTATTTATTTTTGATAACTTAGAACTAAATAAAGATAACGAAAATACGAGTCGCATTAAGTTGGCAAGGAATAAGCTTTTTACATAATAATAATACTCCCTCCGTCCCAGATACCATATCCATGTTGTCGTTTCTGTCCGTCCCATATACTATGTCACTTTTCTTTTTTGGAAAATGATTACACATTTTAATCTCATTTTAAATTTTTTAATTTTTTTTAATTTTAATTAAACTAATTAGTTATTTTAATCTTAATTTATAATTATTTATATTATAGGATAATTATTTTCATTAATATATTTTTAATTATCTACTGATTACACATCTCCTAAAATGCCATGTCTACGGTGTAGCAGACACGGTATCCGAGACGGAGGGAGTAATAAATAAATAAATAACTCTCTTTTGCTGTCGATACAAACACCCAAACAAAGTATGTAGTTTTCTTAACAAATACGTCCTCTTAAATTCATTTATTACAACTCCACAATCCTCTCTATCTTTCTATGGATTATTACATCAACAAGAAGAAGAAGAAGCAGAACAAAACCAAAGCCTTATCCTTCTTCCTCACCCTATCCTTCTCACTCTTCTTATTCTCACTCTACATAACTTCTCACCACAATCCCACTCCCCTCCACCATGTTCCCACCACCCTCTCCGGCGGCGGCGCCGCCGCCTGCCCCGGCATCCGCCGGCTCGACGACTACGCTGCCAAGTGTGTCTACATCAAGACACACGGCGGTGGCTGCCGCAGCCAAGGCTACTTCAATTACCTCGAAATCTTTTATTGCGCCGGAAACGCCGTTTTTGGATACTTCGTTCTCGCCACCTGGCTCGCCGTTTTGTTCTGTTTTTTAGGGCAGACGGCGTCCGATTACTTCTGCCCATCGGTCGGGGGGCTTGCGACCGTGCTCAAGCTGCCCCCGACGATCGCCGGGACAACTCTTCTCCCGTTAGGAAACGGCGCCAACGACGTTTTCTCGAGTATTATTTCGTTCGGGCAATCGGGCAGTGCGGATATCGGCCTTAATGGCGTTTTGGGCGGCGCATTTTTCATATGTTGCGTCGTTGTTGGGGTCGTGAGCGTTTGCGTGGCGCCCCGTGCTGTGACCGTTGACCGGACGTGCTTCGTTCGGGACGTCGTGTTTTTTTTGTTCGTCTTATGTTGTCTACTCGTGATCATCGCCTTGGGGCGGATCACGTTTTGGTTCGCCCTCGGCTTCGTTTCTCTGTATCTTTTCTATATTGCTTTGGTCTCGGCTACCGAAATGATTCGCTATGACTGTAAGGTCGATAGCGAATGCGGTTTGGGTAATCCGACGGCCGAGGATGAATCCATCGCCGATCAAAGAATCCCGTTGCTTGGCGACGCCGGAGTGTTAGAAATCGACAACCTTAAACGCCGCTCTTGGTGGAGTTCTGTCCTCCGGGGGGTCGAATTGCTGCTCGATTTGCCGAGAATGCTGACAATCCCGACAACGATCGAATCGAAATGGTCGAAGCCAATCACGGTAGCGTCGTCGACATTCGCGCCGATTCTTCTCGTGATCATTTATGCCGCCGCCCCGGAGCGCGATTTTCGGACAAGTACCCCGACTCTAACAGCGGGCATCGTCGCCGGCCTGATTTTTGGGACTCTGACGCTCGCCTTCACCGGCGCGTCCGCGCCGCCGGCGGGTGTCCGGCGACTCCCGTGGCTGATCGGCGGCTTTTCGATGAGCATCGTGTGGACGTACGTCGTCGCCAGAGAATTAGTTTCGCTACTACTGGCGATCGGAGAAGTCGTCGGAATTAGTCCGGCGATCCTCGGATTCACGGTGCTGGCGTGGGGGAACTCGGTCGGCGACCTGGTCGCCGACGTGGCGATGGCGGTGAAGGGCGGCGCCGACGGGGCGCAAGTGGCGGTGTCGGGGTGCTACGCCGGGGCGGTGTTCAACACAGTGGTGGGGCTGGGGCTGTCGATGGTGTTTGCGGCGTATCGGTCGCCGGCGGGGATTCCCCGGAATGCTGAGGTGGCGGAGACGGTGGCGTTCTTGATGGCGGCGCTGGTGTGGGCGCTGTTGGTGCTACCGCGGAGGAATATGCAGCTCGATAGATGGCTTGGCGGGGGCCTTTTGGTAATTTACTTTTGCTTTTTGTTTCTCAGGTTGGCTAAGGCTGTTGGATTGCTTCACTTGCCAAATTGAGAATATCCTTAATTAGATGATTTATCATTTATCTCCCAATTCCCTAATTAATTAATTGTTTTAATTTGTTACGCCATGTTTTTTTTGAATTTTTACTTTCTTATTGAAAAATAGTCTTCCAACAAAATTTATGTAAGTTTTAGAATTTTGAAATAAAATTGTAAATAGTGAAATTTTGTGGGTTTCAAATATTCAGCACATGTGATGACGTGTTAATTTAATAGTTAATTATGTCATTAAATATTTAACTATTAATTATGTAATATAATTACATAATTAATACATATAAGCACAACTATTTTAAAACAATTCGGCACTTGATCCACTTCCAAAATTTTTACTATTTATTTTATTTTTATATTAAAAAATAAATTTTACATTTAAAATAGTACATAAAAAATTATTCAAATTAAATTTTTACTATTAAATAGAGTTATAATTTGATCATGTCCCTTGCAAGGAAAATAAAATTTTGATATAAGGTAAAATTTTAACTTTTATAGGGATAGTAACTTATTAAGTTTTAAATTAAAATAAAAAATGTGTGTAGTAAATGTGTAGAATCTATTATGGTGAATTGGTGATGGTGTAAATAGATGAAAAAATAGTCGTTAGAAATTTTAGAAGTTTACATCTATTAATGCTTTTTTTTTTTTTTTTTAATGTTAGTAATATAAACAATAATGATATATACATTTAATTAAAATTTTACAATTTGTGTTGAAGTATGTTAAATATTATACTTTACATATCAATGTCGTTTTGTTAAAGAAAAAATAAATAAATAAAAAATTTATATAATACAAATTTAAAAATAAAAGAATAAATCTTTTACATGATCATATTTCATTCGTCCACTCACAAAGTATATATATTTCAATATTGGGTTATCTAATTACAAAGTATCATTTTATTGACTATTTTTTTCTCCACAAATACATTTACTTTATCATCACAACGTTACTTACACAAAAAAAAAATAGTGTAAAATTTTTTTTACATTACTTTTAACTATTCATTATAATTAAAATATTACTACTTCCGTTCAGCTCTAATGTTAATATTTATTTTTTGCACGCGAATTAATAGTAATAGTTAGATATAATAGTGTAAAGACTAAATTATCTTTATTTTTAGATAGAAATGCATAATAAAGTGAGAATAAGTGATAAATAAGTGTTAGAAAAACCTATTAATAATTAGTGATAGAATCCAGGATTACTAAAGAGGGGAATGTAAATAAAAATATGTAATATTAGAAGTGAACGGATGAAATATTATTTTTTAAATGTCGTGTCAAAAATAAATATTGACCTATAAATTAAATATAGGAAGTATAAATTAGTATTTTATAAAAATATAAAGTTTTAAATGTACATACATAAAAATAATATTTGATTAAATAATTTTATATAAACATATATTTATGATTATTTAAACTTTGTTTTCAATTTTCTTTCACTGTACAATTTTAACAATAATTTTACAAAGTATTACTATTATTTTATATTAGAAATTAATTTTTTTTTAAAAAGCCAAAACCAAATCCATACTACACAAATCTTAATATTGGTTTTAGAAATTAATTTAATTCAGTTAAAAAACAGTAAAGTGAATACTACTTATTTGGTATATAATAAATATCATAATATTGGTAAGTATGTATATATATGTTCGAATATATTAGTATGATATTTATATATTATAGTATAATGTAGAGATGAGATGATGAGTGCATGAGATGATGAGTGCAGTAATGGAGATTGAGTGAATTTATTCGTATCATTTCATTTACAATTCATACATATATATAGGCATATAACCGTCATAAATGTGAATGCGAATTCAACCGTCATACGAGGTATACTAATCAATAAATACATCTACGTCTGATATATGTAGCGTCAACATATATGTATACAGAGTGCATTTATACAAAAAATGTGTTTCGTTAAAGCCTTATTAGGAAAAAATCCTATGGGATAAAATTCTAGTGAAGAAAAAATAGTACAAAATTTTTATAGTAATGTGCTCCCCATATTTTGGACTTTATTTGATGTTTTTCATTCGACGCATTCCAATTTATTACACCAATTTGTTGAATGTTGCAGTCAGTAGCGCCTTCGTAAATAAATCTGCAAAATTTCCAGAGGATCAAATTTGTTGTACATTAATTTCACCAGTTTTATGAAGATCGTGAGTGAAAAAGAATTTTGGAGATATATGCTTTGTCCGATCGCCTTTAATATATCATCCTTTTAACTGAGTTATACAAGCTGCATTATCTTCAAACAAAATTGTAAGAGGTAATACATTATCATAAATCAAGTCACAATTTTTCTGAATATGGTGAGTCATAGACCTCAACCAAACGCATTTACGACTGGCTTCGTGAATTACTAAAACCTCAGCATTGTTTGAAGAAGTAGTTGTTATCGTCTATCTAAGCAATTGGATAAGACAGTTTTTTTTTTTCTCATTTTCTCTCTTCTTTATTTTTTTCATTCTCTTGTTTATTTATTTATTAATTTATATTTCAACGAGGATTTTTTTTTTCTGTGTTTGTTTTGTTTTTTATTCTGTAGATCATACGGCAACTACAAGGCCAACAGTAAGCTCATAACTCTGAAAAAGGCACGACCAAGAGTTCGAAATCGTCTATGAGGATTGTAATAGCAAGAAAAACATTCGATCTAGGTTGCTAGCTTATTCCATTTCTCCATACATATATTTTCTTATTATTACATTGCTCTTGCGGACATCAGCCATTGTAAAATCCATTTTTTTTATAAGATTTCATCATCTCAAATAAGAATCGAGTATACCAAATACAATTGTTGGTCTTTTACGTAACTATAAAATGAAAAAGACAATTACCCTATGAAAATAGTTTCTTTAAAAAAGAAAGGAAACATATATAACCTAACAACATAAATACCTCTCTATGCGTCTTTATAACTATATAGTTATATATATATACCCATATATACTTATATTTTGTGCATGCCATACATTCCCTTCCATAAAATGCCCTTACTTGTACTATTACTAACTTCATAAGATTGTATCCCAAAAAATGTTTTACTACAGTAACCTATCGTACCTATTCTTAGGTATTACCTAACAATAATGATAACAATTAGACACTCAAGTTCTGAAACATTGTAATACTCTCTAAACTTCATAACCCACCACATTCCTATATTACGCATATTGATCAATAATATTAAGACGTTACCTATCACCTCAATTAAATAAAATAACAAAGCAACTACGAAACATAGGAACTAAAAAATCAAACAAAACTTTAATATAAAAAAGCAAGTTCCTCCTCTTTTCACAATGCACACTCTCTGCATAATTATATTTCTTTCAACGAGTACCTGTTGAAATATATATCTCACTAACTTTTCTCTCAATACACCTTTCATCACTATAACTCCATTACTAAATCGACGAAGAAACACAACTTACTTTGGCTGCTGATCTTTCCACAAAACTTTCTAAATGGACAATTCGGGTCATACTACTGGAATGATCAAATGAAAGAGTTTCCCCACGGACAAATACAGCTTACAAGAGATTCATATTTTTGGATGCAAAGGTTTGATTTATTATGTCTTCAAAGTCAGAATCTTTTTGTTTCGTACAAATACTTTGCTATACGACAATGTCTCTCTTAAAAAAATAAAATATTTTTTCTACTTGGGAACACCGGCTGGGGGTTACAAATTCATAACAACCCAAAATAACATATTATATTTGTAAATGCAGGGAACGAAGGTGCAGGCTTGCGCATTTGAACCAGATATCGCGAAGTTAGATTAATGTCTAACCTTATTTCACTCGTATGACATCTACGGAAATTATCTCAAGCCTTTCAGCGCAACCCTGCCCAGATACAACTCAGAAGTTCAGATAATCCTCAACCAAAAGTCAAGTATAAGCCTTGTTATTGATAAGTTAAATATTTTCCTTGGGAAGCCAGTGTTTGTCAAGCTATCAAGCTTACAACCTTTTCTCGAATCAAAAGCTTTCTTTGGTAAATTTTTAAACACACAATGATTAATTATATAGTCATTCTTAATTTTATCTCGTCTAAAATTTATACGACTGCAAAGTTATTTAACACTCATTTAATGGTGTTCAAACTTTTCTTAACACTAAACACAAATTTTACTTTACAAAGACGTCATAGGTATAGCAATCGAAGTCGGTCCCATCAAAACAAGAGAAACAGATAAACTACAAGAAATCACAATCATTACAGAGGAGTATTCACAATATTTCATAGAACAACATTTTTGTCACTTCTTTAATTAATGCTAAAATATTCACATTTTTGTTGTCTTCAGGAAAATACCAACTCAATTGACGATTTGGAATGATCTCGTCGAGGCAAAAGGATCAGAAATCCTCTCACTTTTTCCAGAAAGACCGATTATAGCTGCACTAAATATAAAAGTCTCATCTTTCAAAGGTAGACCATTGTTACAATATACTTAACGACTTCAAGTTTTGAAAAAAATAAAAATTTTTACAATCAATCTAAATAAATCATATAGGCACCTATATTTCTAAGTTATTTTGTTACTACTGATTATTAGTCGATTTTCACAAAATGTTATATAAAGCATACGACAAGAAGCCAGAAGTTTAGTTCCTGCAAACTTTTTTTCGGGGTATAAACGATTACAAATTTATGTGTGTTTCAACTCAGGAATCTCGTTGTCAACCATGCCGATGGCTAACATTCTATTCAATCCTCCTTACCCCGAAAGTATGACACTTCAGCAATGGTAAAATACTACAAATTTGTACCCTTAAAAAAATTATATGTAATCAATTTAAATTGACAACTTACCTACAGAAAACAGGATGAGAAAACTTATATGGATGAGCTCGTTCAAATGAAACACTCTGGAACACCTGCTCAACAACATTCCACAGATATGTTGCCTTTTATTACAGTCCAAGAAATGCGTCAATCACAAGTTCTTTTACCAACCTCTTTTCAACCAAATTAGATCTAATACTATTATCAACTTAATACATTGTAATAATTACACATACAGTTGGTCGATCATAAGACACGAGGTTCCTTTCAAATCTTACTG